GATGGCAAAGGGTGGCCCAGGAGGATTCTGGGAAACAGGCCCCGACAGACAAGGCAGGATTTAAGGGAGTCAGCCTGGCTGCTTTGCGGACCCCAAAGGGGCTGCTGCCCACAACCAGCTGGCAAGCAGACTCAAGGGACACCCCCTTCTCACAGTCACACGATGCAGGTTTACTCCTCCCAGACAAATGTAGGAAACGGCCTTCCTACTGAGAGAGGCCGCCAGCTCATTTAGCTTGCAAGCGTTTGCACTGACTCTCCTGTATTTCTCAGCTCTACCTGGAGAGGCAGAGGACTGAACCACTGCCCTCCCCCAAATTATCTTTTTAAAGCCATCTAAACTGGTGCCCATCACGAGCTTTCGTAGGAGTCAATTCCATAGCTTAACTACCCAAGCGCTGCAACAGGGACGGGTCTTCCAGTCTGAACAACTGACGGCCTTGTGGGCACCTTAAAAGACGGTGGCACAAGCCTCTGTGGGAACAGCGGGTGCGAGAGAGGAACTTCCGCAAATAGAGCCTTTCCTTCCATCACGGAAACAAGCAAGGAAACCTTCGTTGATTAGGGTTTTTTGTTTTTAAATGCATCCCACCTTTAAAAAAAAATGGTTTCAAGGTATCTCAGACCTTTAAAAATTGAAATGCAACCTAGAAAGCAAAAAATAAGTAAAAATGCAGCAGGCTTTGCCACCCTGGTGAGCTGCCCATTCAGATATACTGAATGGAGACTTTCCTGCTCTGGCCGCCCAGAACTTAACTGATGAATCAGCCTTTGTCAGCCTGGTGCTCTCTGTCTGCCCTGGGCTAAGGCACTGCTGGCCGGGGCTGGTCAGAGGTCATTTGGAGGGCACAAGGACTGAAACTTCTTCAGCACCTACTTCTGCATGCAGAAGGTCCCAGGTTCAGCCACCAGCATCATCAGTTAAAAATGGATCTTGAGCACATAGGAAGCCACCTGATGCAGAGTCCATCTAGCTCAGGCTGATCTTCACTGACTGGCAGCAATAGCTCTCCAGGGTTTTAGGCAGGAGTCTTTTCTTCAACCCTACGCAGAGATGTTGCCAGGGATGGAACCTGGGACCTTCTGCATGCAAAGCATGTGCACTACCGCTGAGCTACGGATGAGCAAGCTTCCAGGAAGTTAGGGAGCTGCCGTATACTGAGATCATTGGCTCCCTTTAGCTCAGTACTGTCTTCACTGGCTGGCAGCAATGGCTTTCCAAGGTTTCAGGCAGGGGACCATTCCCAGCCCTGCCTGGAGATGCTGATGGGGACTGAACAGGGGACCTTCTGCATGCAAGGCAGATGCTCTGCCACGGAGCTTCCCCAGTGATGGAAGGGTTCTTCCCCTCAGCCTGAGACTCTGGAGACCAGCTGCCAGTTGGAGCAGAGAACAGGGGGCTGGATGGACAAATAGCCCAACCAGGTATAAGGCAGCTGCCTCGTCTGCTGGCTGCAAGCAGGCGGCCCCAATCCCCGGCTACCTGCAAACACTCGGCATCCTCCCTGCTCCCACGCCAGCCCCACTTTGTCACTGCAGCTTTTCTGCCCCCCCCCCAGGGCTCACCTGGGGTGTGGGTGAAGAGGTGCAGCGTGGAGACTGGGGTTTGAGAGCAGGGTTGGGGGCCACTTCCCCATGCGACTCTTTCTGCTCCCAAGAGCCTGAGGTTACACTCAAATACTCTGGAGGGGCTAATTTTAAAAGGCCACTAAACCAAGGCTGCAGCAGATGAGCCGGCGTTATTTTTACAGGCGGCTGAGAAAACTGGACTCAGCTTGGGGCTTTCCGGTCCTGGTAGATGCTGCGTGGTTTGCACATCGAGGAGGCACTGGTAAAAAGACGTTGCGGACAGGCCTTGGAGGAACTCTGGGGAACCACAAGGGCCCTTCTGAAAGGGTCCGGGAGTCGGGCCTCGGTTTGGTGGGCGGGCTGTTGATTTGATTTATTTCATAAAATTAATGCACAGCTTAACTTTTTTAAAAAAAGAAATCTCTCAAAACAATTTGCAAAAAGAAATGCTATCAGTAAAAATAGTTAAAGCCAACTATTTAGTTCCAAACCGAGACAGCGTCTTAAAAAGCAGAGACATCACCTTGCCAACAAAGGTCCGTATAGTTAAAGCTCTGGTTTTCCCAGTAGTGATGTATGGAAGTGAGAGCTGTACCATAAAGAAGGCTGATCGCCAAAGAATGGATGCTTTTGAATTCTGGTGCTGGAGGAGACTCTTGAGAGTCCCATGGACTGCAAGAAGATCAAACCTCTCCATTCTGAAGGAAATCAGCCCTGAGTGCTCACTGGAAGGACAGATCCTGAAGCTGAGGCTCCAGTACTTTGGCTACCTCATGAGAAGAGAAGACTCCCTGGAAAAGTCCCTGATGCTGGGAAAGATGGAGGGCACAAGGAGAAGGGGATGACGGAGGACGAGATGGTTGGATAGTGTTCTCGAAGCTACCAGCATGAGTTTGACTAAACTGTGGGAGGCAGTGGAAGACAGAAGTGCCTGGCGTGCTCTGGTCCAGGGGGTCACGAAGAGTCGGACACGACTAAATGACAACATTTAGTTCCAAGAATAAAACCAGCAATGAACTGAGAAGAGATTAAAATGTAAATCAACGTTCTACATGCCTGATATTACAGGGAGGTGCCCACACGGGGGCAGCTGAACTGTGGAACTCACTGCCACAGGAAACAAGGATGGCCACCAACCAGGATGGCTTTGAAAGACAACTCATGGAGGGCTCCTAGCCATGATGGATGCTCTCTCTACCTCCGCAGTCGGAGGCAGCAACGATCCCAAACGCCAGTTGCTGCAAACCGCAAGAGGGGTGTGTTGCTGTGGAGCACAGGCTTTCCACAGGGACACCTGGCTGGCCCGTGAGAACAGGTTGCTGGGCTAGACAGACCCACCTTGGCCCGATCCAGCGGCTGCTCTTCAGAGGCTCCTTCTCCACGTAATACAGAGGGAGGGAGGGTCACCCGCTAAGCCCCATCGCCAGAAGGCCAGTGCAAGGCCTGCCAATTGTGCAACAGGGATTCCCAACCCTGACCTCCCAAAATTGGCTCAGGGGAGAAGCTTCAGAGGAGTGTATGCCCAACAGGCCAAAAAGCTCGTGTGGACAGAGCAACTGAACCAGCACTATGCTGAACTCCACCCTGGGAGTCGCTTAAGAGCAGCCAGATGGAGCCACAGCCTGAAGTTGGCTGGTTGGTGGGGGGGCAACTCTTGCCCTGCTCAGCTGGGAAGGGCACAAAAAGGCCAGAAGACAAACTGCCTGGATATGTGTGTAAGACGTGCCGGGGGGGGGGGGGGTTGCGGCGAAGGGAAGTGATCCCGGCGGTGGCCATATGAACATCCCTCCAGTGATTTATAGGAAGTATAATCCAATAATATAGTAAAACAGAACAGTGTGTTTGAGATGGGTTTGATTCCAGGAATTATAAAACAAATTATTAAAAGGGGGAAAGAGAGAGAGAGAGAGAGAAAGCAAGGGGGTGGGCTTTGGGGGTGGGAGAAAAGCCCCACCGAGACCAGATTGGAGTAAATTGGGCACAGATGGGTGGGGGAGGGGGCTCGCAGGACTCCCCCCGCCAGAGATGCCCTGCCACAAGGCACGGCTTCAATTAGCTCGCTTGCAAACTCCGTTCCAGCCACCCCTCTCTCCCTGTGCCCAAATTGCAGATTCCCCCTCCCCTTAAAAAACACACCACCAACCACATTCTCCACGCGTCTGCGGTCAGGATAAAGGCACCCCCCACTTCCCTGCCAGGCGGGTGTGCAGCTGGCTACCAAAGCGCCCAAGGAGGACACCTGGGGCAAGGTGTTGCGCTGGCCTCCTCCTGGTCCTCCTGGGGGCAAAGGGAGCCCGCCAGCACCTCCTTCTGGAGAGAGACGGCATGCAAGGGACAGAGATCGCAGCTTCTGGGGTGGTGGTGGTGGTGGGGTGGCGGCACTGTTCCGGATTGCCAAGGAACTGCCAAAAGGGGGTTGGCCAGGCATAACCTTCCCCTACAGCACTTCCGAGGCGGAGTGGGGTGGGGGACAGGATGGGACCGTCAGTCAGCAAGATGCTAATGGAGGAGCAAGGAAGGAAGACCAAGGCTCAAGGGAAAGAAAAAGGTTGCACGAGCAATACTTTCTGGGTGCCACAGAGGACGACACAGCAGGAGAGCCACAGATCTGACCTGCTGGCCCCAGGATCTGCTGGCGCTGCTCTCCCGTGAGGATGACGGCCACAGCAGGAGGGCTACAGGGGGAGAATTTAGGGGAGGCCCAGGCAGGGCTGAGAAAGACTCTTTCGATGTGTCAGAGACAAACACTGAAGGGGGCAGGGGGAGAAAAGGGGGCCCTTCCTTGGACCAGACCCACTGGCTGCTTCTGCCCACCAGGAAGGGCAAAGGCAACCTGCCTAGAGGTACTACATTGGGAATGGCAGGTGGGGAGTGCCCTGCTGTAGCCCTCAGGTCCTGCTGCTAGCTTCTTCCCCTAGGGGGCACCTGGTTGGCCATTGAAAGAATAGGATGCTGAAACAAGGTGGGCCCCCTTTGGCAGCAGGGTCAATTGCGATAGCAGAACCTCCATGCCCAGGGACAGTCTACCTCTGAATACCGGGTGACGGGCAACAACAACTAGAGAGATGTTGTAGTGCTCAGGTCCTGCTTGCAGGCTTCTTCCCATTGGCTGGCCACTGTGAAAACACTGTGATAAACAAGCTGGCCTGATCCAGCTGGCGCGGGGCTCTCCTTAGGCTCTTATAAGCGCCTCTCCACACAGGAAGCAAATGGTCCCATGGGAACCCTGAGCTGGATGCTAACCAGCAAGAGTTGCTCTCAAGATCTCAATTCCGCCCGCTGGGGTTTTGGAATTCAGCAGTTTTCTCAACCTGTGACTTCCAAAGGGCCTCCTGGGCACCAGAGCTGCGTCCTGCCCACAAACCCAGCGCCTGAGGACGGAGGCCTGGGGCTCCTTCCTGACTCCTTCCCCCACCTGTCCCCCTCCAGTACCTTTGGGCTGGGAGTTGTAGACAGCAAACATGTTGATGGCCATGAGTTGCAGCAGGCGGGTGCTTCCGATGGGCGAGGGGCTGTGCCCCAGCAGCACCCGGAACTCGCTCAGGACCTCAGCAGCCACGGCAGGGAAGGTCTCCATCCTGAAGAAACCAAGGAAGGAGGGGAGGCATTGTTTGCGTTGCTCATTATTTGCACTGCATTATTAACAACGCCATTTGCATTGCACTGTTATTTCTATTACAGTCATACGTCATGTTACGTTCTTTCAGCTTATGTCCCGTGGCGACCCGGAAATACTGGAAAGGGTTACTTCCAGGTTTTGCCACTTGTGCAGAAGTGCTAAATCGTGCTTCGTGCATAAGCGCCAGATCGCGCTGTGGATCTGCGCAGATACACTTCAAGTTGCGCTCTTTTCATGTTGCGAACAGGCCTCCGGAACGGATCCCGTTCCAACCAGAGGTACCACTGTAGTATTATTCTTATTCTTATTGTTATTCACTTATCTCCCAGGACAATTGCAAATAGACAGTAATTATTGTAACGACAACCTGAGAGCAGAGGAGCGCAAGCAAGATGATAAAAAGGGGCAGGGAACCAAGTCTTGTGAGGAACATTTTAGGGAGCTGGGGATGTTTAGCCTGGAGAAGAGGAGATTCAGAGGAGAAAGCATAGCCGTCTTCAAACACCTCAAGGGCTGTCACATAGAAGAGGGAACAAACTTGTTTCCTCCTGTTCTGGAGGGTAGGACTCGAACCCATGGCTTCAAGTTACAAGAAAGGAGATTCCCACTCAACATCAGGAAGAACTTTCTGACGGTAAGAGCCGGACGACAGAGGGATGGAGTCCCTCCGATGGGGGTGGCCTTTCCTTCCTTGGAGGTTTTTAAGCAGAGGTTGGGGGGGGGGCTGTCAGGGATGCTTTAGCGACGATTTGTGCATTGGAAGGAGCTGGACTAGATGAACCTCAGGAGTCCCTTCCACCTCTACAATTCTATGGGGATGAAAGATAACGGCAGAATCTGCTAGAAAGCCAGCTGTTGAGGTGGAGAGGTGTCGAATTAAGACTAGAGAGACCAAGGTTCCAGTCCCCACTCAGCCACAAAACTCCCTGGGTGGCCTTGGGCCAGTCACTGCCTCTCAGCCTAGCCAACCTTGCAGGGCTGTGGATAAAATGGGGAGAAGAACCATGGACGCCACCTTGAGCTCCTTGGCGGCAGGGTGGGATATAAATGTAATAAATAATAATAATGGGGTGTGGGGCAAGCAGGGGAGGCTGTGTGGGACTGAGAAAAGCCGCTCTTTCTCAGCAACACTGGCCTACTTTATGGGGCTGCCGTCAAGATCTGCCGAGCACAAGGAGACAAAGTACTTTGGTGAAGAGAAATTACCACTTTGACCCTACACGTGGTTACCACTGGAAAGTGTGTGTGTGTGTGTGTCTCAGTGAGTGAAATCGCTTCCGTTGTTTTGTCACAGGAAACATGAGCACCTGCACTCTCATTCACAGCAGAGGGAGCTCTGCAGGTCGCCCAGTTACGAAGCCAACTCAAACTCGGCCCTTGCAGGAGCTGACGTGAACCCGTGGCCCTGCAGCCAGTGGTCAGGGATCGTGGGAGTCCAAGAGAGAGGGCATAGACTGCAGCTGACTTCTTGGGCTTCCTTATGGGAGGCTCCTTCTTCCTCGCACCCAGGGAGGCTTCCCAAGAGGGGCAAAGCCAACTCCTCTGCCGTCACCCAAGAAGCAATGGCCACCCAAGGGAAAACCTGGGAGCCAAATGCTGTCCGGGGACAGCAGAATGACTGCTTGGCATGGGGGAGGTTCAATCCCCAGGCTTGCTACCCAGAATTCGGTAGCGAGTGAAAATGGGGGAGAAAGACGCTTCTCTGCTAGAGATTCTGGGGAGGCTCAGCCGGTCAGAGTGGAACATGCTGGGCTAGATGGATAAGATAAGGCACACAGCAGAAGAGCCTGGTGGATCAGGGCCCTTCTGGTCCAGCGTCCTCTTCTCACAGAGGCCAACTAGGTGTTCCCCTGGGAAACCCGCAAGCAGGATTGAAGCACAAGGGCAGCAGCCTCCCCTCCTGCGGTTCTCAGCAACAGAGAGAAGCATCGCCATCTCCAGCTGTGGAGGCAGAGCAAAGCCCTCGATAGCCTCCTCCCCCTCCATGAATTTGCCTAACCCCTTTAAAAAGCCGCCCAAGCCGTTGGCCATCATGGCCTCATGTGGGAGGGAGTTCCACAGTTTAACTCTGCGCTGCACTAAGAGGGACTTCCTTTCCTCTGCTCGGCATTTCTCTGACAATCTGCCTCAGTTTGTCAAGAGCCAATCCCTGGAGGACACGATTTAGATCGGGGGGCATCAGACCTCAATGCTAAACAGAACCTCCACAGGCAGAGGCAGTCTAGCCCTGAACTCCGGGCGGCAGCGGGAAAATGGCACGAATGGACTTGGCTGGGGACGAATTTGTTCTGATAAAGGAGGGCAGCTGCTGTGCTGGACGAGGAGGGCCAGACCTGCGTCACTGCTGCGGTGGCGCTCCCAGCCCCAGCCCCAGCCGGAGTGCTGACCCTCTCCCTTGCCCCCACCCGCCCCACCCTCCAGAGCCGGCCTGGGAGGGGGAGGGAGGAGGAGGAGGCGGCTTCACACCCTGTGCCCTCCGCTCCAAACACAAGCCCAGTTGCTAACAATATTGGAATTCCAAAAGGCCTCGTAATGTAGGAAAAATAAAACAAACATCCTGCAGCCTTACCCAATCCTGGTAAACAGCTTCCCATGGGCATGGAGAAAACTCAGGACGAACCTTTTGTTCAGCTGCATGGGAAAGAGGGGGGGAAAGCAGAGAGAGAGAGAGAGAGAAAAGATGATGTTGAAGAAGATGAGAAAACAATTCGAACGCTCCCTTTTCCTGTGAACGAGCCCAGAGTCCCGGGTGACAGGATAACCTGGCCTGGGATGTGCAGAGGGGGGTGGAGGGGCGGCAGATGGGAACCAAATGTCTGTGCCCCGGCCCTCCAAGCGCGAGGGCAAGTGCCAGACAGCTGCATTTTTGGAGGGGGGAGCCGTGCTAGGCCCACGGCACCCTCTGCTGGCGGACAAGGTTCTCTGCAAGCGACGGGAGCATGTGTGCAAGGAATCCCAGGGGTGCCCACCTACCGCCACTTTCCAGAGGGGAATGCGAGGGCAACACGTAAGGACCTAAGAAGAGCCTTGAGGCTGGGTCAGGCCAGTCCAGCAACCTGTCCTCAGTGGCCAAACAGGACCTGAGCCCAACAGCAGCAACTCTCCAGTTGTCCCCATCCTCTGGTTTTCTGAGGCAGACTGTCCCTGGGCATGGATGGAGGTTCTGCTTTCACAATAGGGCTTCCTAAGAGCCTGGCTGGAGCAGGCCAAAGGGGGCCCATCCAGTCCAGCCTTCCCAGTGGCCTCCCAGATACCCCAAAGGGAAGCCCGAGGGTGGGGCCTGGGCAACGACAACTCTCCCCCCCCCCCCCCGTGATTCACACCATCCCCGTAAAGCATTCTTAAACCACTTGAACAGTCACGGCTTCCCCCAAAGTATCCTGGGAACTACTGTTTGCTGGAGGGCATCCTACAGGGTTGGCCTGAGGCGAAGGTCCTTCTTAGGCTGAATGGGAGGTGCAATCACAGAATTGTAGAGTTGGAAGGGACCCCAGGCACATCTAGCCCAGCCCCTGGCAAGGCAGGAATCTGTTGCCCAACGTGGGGCTCAAACCCACAACCCTGAGATTTAAGAGTCTCACGCTCTACCAACTGAACTAAACAGAGCAATGTATTAAAACCAATACATTCACTGGAACGACAACAAACTGCACATGGAGGAAAGGCTGCCAGACAGAGAGAATCAAGGTGGTTTTTCCTCTGTTTTTGACATATTCTACCACCACCAACCCCCCTTTGCTTTGCCAACTCTCCTGCACTGACCCAACTGTGGCACCAATCCATTTCCAAGACAGTAACTGGCCCAGGAATCCCATATCCTGCCCCTCCTCGATTTTGCAAGCAGGCTGCCATGCAATGCCCGAAGCATGGTGGCAGGGGGTCCGACCCAACCAATTCCTCCAGTAGGGAGGGACACACACAGAGCATGCAAGTCGTGTCTCAATGCGGCTCCTTATGGGGAAGACCCGAGTTCAAATCCCTCATCTGGCCACAAAACTCCTTGAGTGACCTCAAACAATCCACCAGCTTTCTCCTTTGGCCAGGCCTATCTTACAGGGGTGGGTGCAAGGAGAAACGTGGGGGACAGGTGTCCATTGCCCCGAGTGCTTTGGGGGAAAGGAAGGGGATGTAAATTAAACATAGGTGAAGCCTCAGATAGTTGGGGTGCAACCTGGGAAGAATGGAAGAGAAGCAGTGCAGAGCAGTGGTCAGAGCAGGGGGTTCAGGACTACTGCATTGGTAAGCTTTTAATGATTGATGCTTTATTATGTTTTTTTATGTGTTGGAAGCTTCCCAGAGTGGCTGGGGTAATCCAGCCAGATGGGTGAGGTGGTATTATTATTATTATTATTATTATTATTAACTCCTCATCACTCCTGGATGCTGGCCATTCCGGCTGAGTTGCAGTCCTAAACACCTGGAGGGCACCAGGTTGGCTACCCCCGGGGTTAGAGCGCTGGGCTAGGACCTGGGAGGGGCCAGGGTCCAAAATCCCCTGACACTCAGCCTCCTGAAGTTCCCTGGGTGAGTCCCTGCCTCTCTCTCAGCCCAGCCTGCCTCACAGGGTTATTGGGAGGGAGTTTAACATCAGAACTTGTGGACATCCAACAAAGCGGAATGTTGGAGGATTCAGGACAGATGGAAGGAAGTCCTCTCTGCTGCAGGACGCAGCGGCGATGGCCACCGACTTGGATGCTTTTACGAGAGGATTGGACAGATTCACGCAAGAGGAGAGGGCTATTGATGGCAACCAGCCATGAGGCTTCCGGACAGCAGTTGCTGAAAAGTGCAGGAGGGGAGAGGGCTCCTGGGGTGGGGTCGTGCTTGGGGGCTCCCCCTGTGAGAAGAGGAGGCCGGGCTCGGTGGGCCACTGACCTGATCCCGCCGCCAGGCTCTTCTTATATTCCCATGCTAGTGGGGGAGAATCGCACACACCACCCTGAGCTGCTTGGAGGAAAAGCAGAATATAAATGTTGATGATGATGGTGGTGGTGGTGCTCTGGGGTGGGAGCAGAAGGGCAAGGAAAGCCCCTTCCCGGCTCCCTCCGAGCGTGCATGCGTGCCTGCCTCCTGCCTCCCGCGTGACCCCGATGAGCTCAGCCCTGGGAAGAGGCCGGTGGGAAGGTTCAAGGGCAGGCCAGCGGCTGCTCTCCAAATGACTCTCTGCGTGGTTGTGCTCTTGGCGTGACTCACCTGCCGGCAGGGCCCCCCCTGGGAACCTCCTGCTTCTCACAGCCAGAGGGAAACGGAGCCCCCGGGAGAGGAAGTGGCACCACCTGCTGGTTGTGGCGGCTGCGCAAGGCGAGGGGGAGGAGGGGGGCACACATGCACTTCCCCAAAGCGGCGGAGGGATGAGAAATGCGCCCCCTGTGCCCCCCTCCACAAAACACGAAGAGCGAAGAAGACAGCCCAGTGGCTGCCCTTTCTCATTGCCTCAACAACCCACTTATGCAGAGGGGGTTCCCCCATCTCCTGCTACCCCATACACACCAAAGCAGACTAGTCCTCAGCGAGGAAGAGGTCACGGGCGGCACTTGCTGTTTGGGCGGGGTGTACGGAGGGGCAGCTCGGCTGAGCCCAAGCCTGGACGTTCGTGTGGCTTTTTGTTTACATTGCGCTCCGCTTTGCGACTGTTAATGCATTATCTTGGAATGCTGTTTTATTTCAAATCTGTGCGTTCTCATGAGCTGCTTGCGCGTGGCTCCGTCATGGGAAAGCAGCATACAAAGAAAGACACAACGATAAGGCTGAAGATCGTTCACCCGCTCACGCGTTTCGATCTGAAACACTTGGGTGCCGCCCTGCAGCAAAACTTCCCAGGGAAAGCTGATTAGGGGAGGTTTGTACAATCTTGATGTGACTGATGGTGACGAGGGCGCCACAAGCTCCTTTTCTAAGTAACTCTGATTCTGGGGGTGGGGAAGCGCCCAAAGCAGGCAATATGAATACAGGCAATGCCATATCTATGGGAAGGACATAAGGACACAAGGTCAGCCATCACATTACGCATTTACCAAATGGCGAAGTCGCTCCTGAATGTGGTATCTAGAACTCTTGCTAATAATAATTTTATTAATTATATAGCCTGTCCGTCTGACTGGGCTGCCCCAGCCATTCTGGGTGGCTTCCAACAAAATACAAAAACAAAGTAAAACCTCAAACATTAAAACCTCTCAATAGCTAAATGGTTATCAGACTCTGAAAGGCTGCTTTCGCAAGATTAGGTTCATCAGTTTTGTTGAAATAATAATTAAACCAGCTAGCTGTAATTGGATTTCAAATAAATGCGCAAGCAATTGTTACTGCTTTGAATTTTATTGTGTAATTATCTTCCTGAGTATGTTGTGCGTGTCACTATTCTGAATAATGCTTCTTACGGGGTAGGGGGCCTTGAGCTTATGGAACCAAGGGGGCAGATCCCCCCCCCAAATCGGGAACCACCAGCCTAATCCTTTACAGGAACCTAGGAAGAGTCCTGCAGCAGGTTCCCCGAAAGGGGACCATCAAACACAACATCCTCTGATTAGCAAGTAGGACCCGAGTGAATCAGCAACACTCTCCTCGCCTGCGACTCCCAGGAAGAGGAATATGGAGGCGTCTGTGTCTCCCACAGGGGAGGCAGAGCACAGCTATTGTGCCGAGGAGCCACCGACAGCGACAGCCCCGGCTCTGAGCACCGATCCATCTGGCCCCGATCCGGGGGGCTGGGGCTCTGCGCTCGGCACCTGAGCCCCAGGATCCCTGGTGGGAAGGAGGGCAGGCACCAAATAAGGGCAGGATTCCAGCACAGCTGCTCCGGTAGGGCTGGGATTAGGAGGAGGAGGAGGAGAGGCTGCTTCCAGTTAAAAATGGTTACTTCAGGTTTGGAAGCAGCACTCTGGTATCTGTTCTTTATCAAGCGAGGAGGCAAACTTTCCCCTCGGCAGCCGCGACGCATCTGCGGAGCAGAGAAGGGTCGGCGGAACCAGCGCGGGGCAGCGGAAGGACAAGGCTTGTTTCTTTGCCAGGGGACCGGATGCGGGAGGGGAGGGAGCAGCGCCACGGATGTCACGGTGGGGGGCAGTTTGGGTGGCTGCTAAAAAAAAAAAAAGTAACAAGGAGGAGCGAAGGGAGCAGATGCACCCAGGGACAAACCCAGCCGGGCTCAGCGGAGAGACGTGTTTGTCTGACCGGTTGGCACGAGAGCCCCCTCCAGACACCCTTTCCCAGAGCAGGCCTCAGGCCTCCCTTGGGAAATGGGTGGGCCAGGAGAGCAGTGCTTCCTCCAACCTCCTGAATGCTCACAAACATCAGGAGAGGCCTGGAGCAGCAGCTGGATCAGGCCCTCTTACCCAGCATCCTGCTCTCACAGTGGCCAAGCAGATCGCCCCCGGGGGCATGGGGAACCGGAGGCAACAGCCGCCGTGTTCTTCCCACTTGGAATTCCAAGCCCATTTTCACAAATGATGTTTTGGGGGGAAATCAGAATATGGTGCATTTATTGTCACCCATCCTGATTATCCTGTGATGAAGGGCGGGGTGCATATCTTTTAATACATAAATTAATAAAACCAATGTATTGTGATTTAATTATTGACTTAAAAAAAAATTCAAACTGTAGCACTTCCACATTAAGCAGAACAACCTGCTACTGGCCCTAGAATTCAACATCCTAAACCTCTTGGTTCCTTCTTTCAAAGAAAAAATAGGCTCCTAGTCCTGATGATTATTAATAAATTGGGGTGCATGTGGGGAACATTGAGGGAGGGAATGGAATCAGAAGCCAGAGAGGGAAGGGGGAGGATCCTGAGTGGCTGTGGCTACAGAAGGGAGGGATTCTGTGATCTACAGAGTACTCCCCACAAGTTGATGCAGAGAAGAAACGAGCAAATATAAGCCAACAACCAGGGCGCAAAAATGGGACAGTTTCTCAGTTTACACACACACACACACACAACCACAACACAACCACAATGCAAGTGGCTGCAAATGCCTGCACAGCCCTTGGAGCTGAGGGCCTCTGCAGAATGGGATCCTGCCTGGTCCTCTCCTGGGTCAAGGGAGCCTGGCACCCTCCTGCCATGCCCAGCGGCCCACCTCCTCCCCAGTAGTCACAGCAACCTGCCTTCTCTCCTCACTTTTAGAATTAAGACGCTGAGCCTCTTTTCTCTTTTTTTGGCCTTTGCGTGCCTGGAAACTCTCGCTTCACCTCACCCCGGCCTCCTTGTGGGTGGCAGCGAAAGGTCAAGTGGGGCCGGAAGGAAGGGGAAGGGGGGCAGGCTCCACGCAAGGCTGCCCTGAAGAGGGCTGCAGGCAGCAAGGAGCTCAGCCCCAGCAGGGAGCAGGAGCGGCGCTCGGCGGGACAGTTTCCCCAAAAGCCTGTTTCGCTCCCGAGACGCAGAGCACCAGGGAGGAGGGGTGGGTGCAGCTGGTGGCTGGGAGGCGGAAGGGGACGGGGGTGAGCCAGGCGCTGCGTGCCGAGAGTCACGTCCCCAAGCCCGCGGGGGCCGGGCATGTGGTTTCCGCGTCTAACCAGCCCAACTGCAGCCTGGCACCCGCGGCTTCCTCCTCGGAGAACTTCTCTCTCCGTTAGAGGAAAGAGACCAAACCTCAGGGCTCGAAACAAAAACGGGCCGGGCGTAAAAATAAAAGCTGAGGGGTGGTTTTGGTGACCGGGTCAAAGGAGCTTGAGGAGGAAGAGGGGGGGAGAGAGAGAGAGATGAAGCACACACAGCAGCATTCTGGGTTGCCCGTCACGGCACCAGCGAAGGAGGCTGGGGGGAGCAGAGTCTTTCTCTCTGCCTCTCTCTCTCTCGCCTGGGAACCTGCTTCGCAAACAGAAAGGAGGGGGGATCCCCCCAGCGCTCGCTGAGTCAACCTCCAGGGCTTTCGGCAACTGCTCTCTGCAGGCCAAAAGCACAGTGCTGTCCCTGCCGGCAGGGCGCCCACAGGGTGACCCCGAGTCAGTGGGATCCCAGGAACGCGCAAGTCTAGGCAGGTGGGGGAGTGAAGGGGAGTCCCGTCCCCCCCCCCCGAGGTCGGGCTCCAGTGCTATGAAGAAAGAGCTGTTCGAGTGTGGAAGGGACTCCCCTTGGGAGGTGTTTGACTCTCCTTGCTTGGTGGTTTTTAAGCAGAGCTTTGCTGGCCATCTGTCAGGGATTTTTTAGTTGAGCTTCCTGCATTGCAGGGGGCTGGACTAGATGGCCCCAAACGGTACCTTCCTACACTACAATTCTATTGTTCTATGAAAGCCAGGCACCCCAGGGAACCTCCATGAGCCCAACGGGCGAAAGGCTTAAAGTGACAGTTGAGCACCGACTCCTGTGTGACACCGATGGCCCCGGCAGGAGGCAGCTGCGCTTTGCTGTTGGCAGAAGAAGGGCTAGAGGTCAGGGGCAGAGAGCACCTGCCGGGCATGCAGAAGATCCCCGGGCTCAATCCTTGGCAGTATCTCCAAGAAAGGCTGGGAAACGCTCCTTGCCTGAAACCCTGCTGCCAGTCTGTGTAGGTGACACTGAGCTAGTTGGAATAGGAGCCACTAACCCGTCTTCTTGCCCAGCTCAGCCCATGTGCCTCCCGTGACCCTCTGTTTGCCTCCTTCCTGCCAACCTGCCCCTTTGCTTCTGCCCAGATGCTTCCTTGGAATAGGGCAACATATTGGCCAGGCCCCGGATCTCTCAGGCCAAAGCACCCACAGCAAAGCAGCCCACCCACCCAGCACCCAAAGTGCCAGCGCAGCCCATTGCTCAATTAACACTGTCGTTCCAAAGGCTGGAAGGGCCAAGGTACTCCCCACCAAAAAACCACCCTCCATCCATCACTGCAAGTTGTATCCTCATTCTCCTCATCGCCCCCCCGCAACATGTCAGCCTGTCCTGCATAGCAAGAAGAGCAGCGCCATCCAGTGGCCAGAGGGAGCCCGGCAACAGAAGCTCCTCTTGGCCGACTTGCACACGTATTTATACACACTCATCTACCCAGCCTGGGAAGTCGTGTGGTGCAGCGGTGAGAGTGCCAGAGGACGAGGGCCTGGGAGAGCCCAGGGTTCAAGTCCTCACTCAGCCACAAAGCTCAGCCCAAGGCCCTCAGGCTAACCCACCTCATGGGGTTGTTGCGGGGACTAAACGAGGAGGGCGGGGAATCCTGGGAGGAAAAGGCGAGGCATAAATGCAATAACCACACCAATTCCACAAGGGGCAACACTCTTTACATGACGCTACACGGATTTCAGCCGCCTGGACGGTACTCACGTCGCTGGGGCTGAGGCTGCCGAGGCCGTTGTCCTGCTCCGAGTCCCGCCCGGACTCGTGCCCCTGGCTGGCGTGGGGGTGCGAGGGGTGGATCCAGAGCTCCAGGCGGGTGGCATCATCCCCAGAAGGCCGGAAGGCCGACTTCTTGCCTTTACTCTGCCGGCTGGGGCTCTTCTTCTGCTCCACCTGCACAGGGAGGGAGAGGCGCCGTGGTCAGGGTGGGTGCTCCTGGGCAGAGAGGGAGGCTGGGGGCAAGGAAAGGGGTCCGCAGCCCTCCCCCCACCCCTTACCTTCCGCTTGGTCTCCTCAAAGAGGCTCATGAGGCTCTCCTTGGCAGTGAGGATGGGGTTGCTGGCCGCAAGGCTGCGCATGTAGTAGTAGACCGCATCCAACTTCCTTCTCTGCGGAGACAACAGCAGGAAGATCCCCTTACAAGACAGTACCCTACAGAGGGGCGACTGGGGGGATCCAAAGGGAACACCCTCCTTCTTGCTGAGAAAGGGGAGGTGGCAATGGAAGGAGAGGGGCAGGTGAAGCTTCTAGGACTGCAACAAACACAAGCCCCGCAGCATTAAGGTCTTTGCCAGGGGCAAAACTCTAAGAACGTAAGAAGAGCCTGTTGGATCAAGCCAATGGCCCAGCATCCTGTTCTCACAGGGGCTGAACAGCTGCCTGTAGGGAACCAGGAGGCAGGATCCTCTCCTGTAATCTCCAGCAAGTGGAATCCGGAAGCATTGCTGCCTCTGATCGTGGAGGCAGAGCAGAGCCATTGTAGCTAGTGAGCGGCTTTACATTGAGAGTTTTACTGCTATTTCTTTTAGCCACATTGGTCTGGATTTACAATTCTGAGTTATCACAAGATGGCCAATGATTGGTAATTTTCCTATGCCTTAGTTACCGTACGTCTGTGGTAGGTGGAGCTTCATGCTCTTTTGGTGAATAATAATAATAATAATTTCTTATTTATACCCCACCCATCTGGCTGGGCTTCCCCAGCCACTCTGGGCGGCTTCCAACAAAATATTAAAATGCCATAATGCATCAAACATCAAAAGCTTCCCTAAACAGGGCTGCCTTCAGATGTCTTCTAAAAGTCTGGTAGTTGTTGTTCTCTTTGACATCTGGGGGAGGGCGTTCCACAGGGCGGGTGCCACTACCGAGAAGGCCCTCTGCCTGGTTCCCTGTAACTTGGCTTCTTGCAGGGAGGGAACCGCCAGAAGGCCCTCAGCGCTGGACCTCAGTGTCTGGGAGAACGATGGAGGTGGAGATGCTCCTTCAGGTATACTGGACCGTTTAGGGCTTTCAAGGTCAGCACCAACACTTTGAATCGTGCTCGGAAATGTACTATATTAATGTTATATAGTAATATTTTACGCTAGAAATGTTTTTGTAAGGATGCGTAAAAAATATTTTTCACGTGATATTCTTTAGTGAATTTCATTGTGTTATTATCTTCCTTAGTGGGTTGTGCAAATTCTGAATGATGCTTTTATAGGGTTGGGGTTCCTGAGAATGAGTTTTAGAACCAAGGGCTTGGGGCCCTGAAAAAGTTTGGGAACCACGGCTCTAGACTCTCTCGCAAAGGAACTCCTGCTAGCTCAGAGAATGGAGAGTAGTCTCTCCCAACCTTGAAACCCTAACAAGTTTTTGGACTACAACGCCAATCAGTCCCATCCAACGCTGATGGGGGTTGTAGTCCAAAACATCAGGAGGGACGCCAGGTTGGGGGAGACCGACACAGAGTGTTTCTGTTTTCCAGTGGTGCTAATAAGGACCTCAATCAGAAATGAAGTGTGTGGCTCCTAATATATGGCATATATATTCCTGGGCACCTTGTTCCAACACCCCTTACTCTGGTCGGGGGGGGGGAGCAGGAAGCCCCGTTTCTGATAAAGTCACACAGATGTGACTCAGCCACATCTAGGGCTGCATCCTTTAGAGCAGAGGAAGTTGCTTTATACAGAGACAGACCACTGGGTCTGCTTAGCTCGGTGCTGTATACACTGACCGGCAGCCGTGGCTCTCCAAGGTCTCAGGCAGGGAGTCCTTCCCAGTCTTTGAACCTGGGACATTCTGCACACAAACCTGGCACCTTGGCTACCCAGCAGCTGGTCTAGATGGTGTAATTAATTTAATAACAATTAGATACTCCTTGCTTTAAAAAAAACCAAAAGATTTATAAAAAAGGGGGAGAAACAAGAAACTTATCAACAAGATAAAAATAGTAACAGTAATTTAAGACTTTTTGAAAAGCTAAAATAATGACAGACTAAAACCGCATGAAAACTCATGCCAACTTAAATTTCAAAAATCAGTTTAATCATTGGTTAGCCTTCCACAAGAACAAAGACACGCCTTCCTAGCACCAGGGTCTATCTACACGATGTACGATTTGTCCACGATAACCCTAACCCAGCGAATTTATGTCCACAGACGTGGAGCTTCCTCATGCCAAGCCACAATGGGTTTTGAGTACAGAGGCCTGAAAATAAACGAGGGGTTCCATCCTGAAGGGGTACCTGAAGCTCCCTCAGATCTTTGGGCCAGAAGCTGTGCTGCATGGTCACACTGCAGGAATAAAAAGCTAGCAAACTCTGTACATCTAATGAACCTTATTGACAGATGTTTGAGGAATTATCCATTTCAGTCAGTAAGTGAAAAAGAAGTGATGCCCACATTTTCATAAATGCTTATAAAGTCTGCTAGTAATTATTTTTGACAGCTGAGTTAATTCGTCTAATGAAATATTAGCAATTTGGGAAACAGCTGCCATGCATCTGAAACACTGGCAAAATAATTAAGAAATGTAAGCATTTTTCACAAGTGAAGCGAGCCGATGCCTCTCCTGGTGCCGTGAGGCTCACAAGCCTCCTGTGCCTGGACCACCCCGGCTCCCTCCCTCCCTGCATCTCTCTTACCGTGTAGACAGCCAAGAGGGCCAGCTGGTTGTACGGGCGTCCGTTCTTGGGGGCGATGTGCTGGGCCTTCAAGTACCAGCTGGGGAGGCAAGAGAGCAGAGTGACTGACAGGCTAGGCTGCATCGGGGCAGGAGACCCTGGAGTGGAGAGGCTGCCACTGGCAGAGGCCTCTCCTAGGTCCTGCCAGTGGCTGTGGCAGAGATGGGGACAGCATGACCCTGGGGAGCTGGAATTCGAGCTATACCTGAAGTGTGGCCACACGGACCCCGTCCCATGCACAGAAGTTCCCCAAGAACCCCTCTGGGGTGCTATGGTTCTCTCCCCTCTCAAAACCGACGTTTGTTATCCAGCCTTATCCCCTTCCCCACCACTGGCACCAAGTCCCAAAAGTATGTTGTAACTTCACCTGCTCACATCAACCCTTTTGCCCCTTCCCTCCCGCCTACTCAACTTTCTCAACGTTTAGACTGCAGGCTCCTGGAAGGAGAGAGGGAGTGGCTCCTCAGGACGGTTTCAGGCAGGGGAACAACCCCAGCCCTGCCTGGAGATTGAACCTGGGACCTTCTGCATGCCAAGCAAGTGTTCTGCAGCTGAGCTACAGCCCTTTCCTGAAGACAGAAAATTGTAGCAAGCTGCCTTGTACTGAGTCGGACCAGCTGAATATTGCCCACACTGACTCTCCAGGTTCTCTGATTAGGAACAGTCGCAGCCTGACCTGAAGCTGGGGTTTTCTGGACACAAAGCAGGTGCTCTATCCCATGAAGGGACACAGTCCCTTCCCCTCCAGAGGGGCCTGGCAGATGCCCTCCAGGACTTCCTCCCTCCCTACCTGCGTGCCTTCCCGTAGTTGGCCGTGTCGCTGCTTTGCTCTCGGTATCTGCAGATGTCTCCTTGGCAGATCAGGCTCCTCTGGGCGCTGATGAGGGCGTATTTAACCTGGGGCAGAGGAAACAAGCCCATCAGTTGCAGGAAGGAGGGAGGGAGAGCTGGGGAGAGGCCTCTGCCGGAATCCAAAAACTCTTCCCTCGTAGTTTAGATGGAGGCTGTGAGTGGCAAGTCTAGTGTTCCAAAGGATATTTGCAACCCACACATATATTTTAAAAATGAAGCCAATCTCCTCTTTACAGGTCTCGGCTGTGACATTGTTCCCTGCCTCCCTTGCAAGACTGAGCTCCTGCCCCTTGCCGAGCGATGGGAAAAGGCAGGACTCCCCCCCCCCCCCGCAGCTCCAGCATCCTCGTCCGTTTTTGACAAGGGCAAAAGGAGATTTGATCTCCAGCTTAAAATGGAGACACGGCCGGGCTTCAGCACGCCTGCTTCCTTCGCCAGGGAAAAGCGCTGAGCTCCCCTCTGCCCAAAGAGGGGGTCTCCTTTACCACCCGTCTTCCAGGGACCCCCAGAGGGCCTGATCCACAAAGCTTCCCCCCGGCAGACCCCGGCCCTAGCCAGGGCTCACCGCCTTCCGCAGGGGCTTGCTGCGCACAGCCATGCCCATGTCCATGTCAACACAGCTTCCCCCTGGCAGACCCAGGCCCTAGCCAGGACTCACCACCTTCCGCAGGGGCTTGCTGCGCACAGCCATGCCCATGTCCATGTCAACACAGCTTCCCCCTGGCAGACCCAGGCCCTAGCCAGGACTCACCGCCTTCCGCAGGGGCTTGCTGCGCACAGCCATGCCCATGTCCATGTCAACACAGCTTCCCCTGGCAGACCCAGGCCCTAGCCAGGACTCACCGCCTTCCGCAGGGGCTTGCTGCGCACAGCCATGCCCATGTCCATGTACTCCTCCAGCTTGAACTGGTACGTCCCTTGCAGCTTCTGCAGCAAACTGTCGAAGAAATCGCTGCCCTGAGACCCAGGAGAGAGAAAGTGGAAAGGGGTGGGGGGGAGAGAGTGAGGGAGTGGACGTGGCAGGAGTACTTGAAGAACACATGCCCCGGATTCAGAAGCTTCTGATGGAATACCAGCACCCATAAGAAGAGCCCTGCTGGAGTAGACCCAAAGCCTGTCTAGCTCAGCACCCAATGCATCTGTGCTTCCCGCATTGCAGGGGGCTGGACTAGATGACCCTTGGGTTCCTTTCCAACTCTATTAGTCTACAATTTTACCTCCAGTTCAGAGCAATCCTGACCTCCTGGGGTCCCCCCACCGCCACCAGTAATAGGCCTGGGGACGAGCTGGTTCACTAAGCAGCTCCTGGGATTCCACCACGGTCCTTCTGGGTGCCCACAAACAAGAGTGCAGCCTTGGAATCACCCAACACAGGTTCTTTATGCCATAAAGTGGGGAGGGATCCAGAGCCTTTGTGCGTTCAGCACTTGTCAGTGGGCCACTGGAAGCTTTGTGAACAGCCTGGAGCTGAAGTCGTCTGAATGTCAGAAATCCATGCAGCTAGATCTGGTGAAAGGGGGCCCAGCTCACACAGCATCCTATTCAGAGCAGGCAAGCAAATGCCCCCAAAGCAAAGTCCACCAGCAGAACTCCCTGCACTTGTGAGCCCCTGCAAGTGGATTCAGAAGCATACTGCCTCCAAGAGCAGAGGGAGAAGCCCACTTTGGAAGAATGGCAGATGAAGGTGATGGACTACATGGAATTGGCGGAAATGACTGGCAGAATCTGAGATCAGGGAGAAGAGTCGGTGGAAGAAGACTGGAAGAAATTTAAAGACTACCTACAGAAATATTGTAAAATTAATGAATGTTAGAATGATGTTGGATTGAAATTAAGTGGTTTCTAGCTGTAATGGTATAAAAGAATATGAAAAAATGGTTTTTTATAAGTAAAAATTTAATGTTATAATAACTTAAGATTAAAGATCTGGGTAGAATAAAGAGGGAAAGAAACTGCTAAGTTAATAATTTGAACTGGATTACAAAAAAGGGAGGTACAAGGAGGTCCGGGAAACAAGTTAATGAAAAATAATGTGATGAAAAGATTGATTGTTTTTAACTACTTTTATTTTGTATTTTTTCTTTTTCTATTTTGTAATGTAAAAACCCTAATAAAAATTTTATAAAAAAAAACAACAGCAGCAGAGGGAGAAGGCAGGCTTAGCCACCCCTGTGAATTTGTCTCATTTTATTTTTTTTAAAAAGCCATCAGTACAAATGTAATAGGAGCCCTACAGCAGCCGGATGGGGCCAAAGGGGCCCCATCTAGTCCAGCCTCCTGTTCTCACAGTGGCCAATCAGACGCCCCAAAGGGGAGTGCGCAAGCAGGAGCTGAGCTCTCCCCGCTTGTGGTTTCCCAGGAGCCGGTTTTGAGAGGCAGGTTGCTGGTGACAGTGCAGAGGGCAAATCAGGAGGTTCTGCTTGGGCTACAGCAGCCTGGCCTGGCCTGTTGGCCTCCAGACAGTTTGGGCTCCGATGGCTATGCTGGCTGGGGCTGATGGGAGTTGAAGTCCAAAATATCCAGAGGGGTCCCCAGTTGGGTAAGGCTAGGCTGCAAAACATTTCTGACTTTACACACTATTTGCAATGTGTTGGGGGACAGACACAGCTTTTTCTTCCTTACATAAGAGGGTCATCATGCTAACATAAGCTTTTCATTTCCGTGTGTTTTTAAAACCACCGTATTTGGGGTCAGGCGTACTACCCCGACCCTTGAGATGGTGCCCTCCCCTTGTGCCAGGCTATAGGGCTCAGCCTCAGGCGTCCTTACCTCGTCCAGGATCTGGAGCAGCTTGGTGCGGATCTCCTGGGCGTTCTCCCCAAGGGGATCCTTCAGCAGCTGCCGGAACTTCTCGATCACCTGGTAGAAGGCATTCTTCCACAGCAGCTGGTCCACGTTCTGGGCGTCAGAAAACTCGATGTCGGTCAGCAGGCAGCGCTTGTACAGCTGCAGCATCTCCACCCTGGAAAGGGGCACAGCTAAGCCCAGGGGCTTCCGCCTCAAACACTCCCCCTCCCTTACAGTTCATCTCTTCCACAGGACTCTACTCAGACCCACAATGAGACTTGGGGCAAATGTAAGAGGAGCTCAGTAGCTGAGCTGGACCAAAGACTCGCCCAAGTTCAGCACGCCATTTCCCCCAAAATGGCCAACCAGAGGCCTCTTCTGGGAAGTCCATTAATAAATAGCACAACCCCAACTGTTGTGACTCCCCAGGCAAAAGCAGCAGATTGCCTCTCCGTGAGAAATTCCCCAGGCAAAAGCAGCAGATTGCCTCTCCGTGAGAAATTCCACAGACAGGACTTCTCATCTTCCACTAACTGGCTTAACCCCCTTTTAAAGCCTCCTTGGACATCTTCTGACAATGAACCCCATTAATTAGCAACACCCTGTTTTGGAGTACAGGCAAAATACATTATTCGCCTAGGCTTCTGGTTTTTAACTGGGAGGGCAGCTGGATACGTCCGTGACCTTGGTGGTTGTGCTCATCCTTTAAGAAGAGAGAATAGGACTTGCTCCTTTTGAATGGATGTTTGGAACAGTATTTTAGGTTTCATTTACTGTTGTTTTTCTATCTGATCTTAATGTCTTTATTTCTGTTGCGTAAGTCACTTTAAGACACGCAAATGCAAAATGCAACTAATGAATATAAAAGCAATAATGACCTGCAAAAAGGCCTTCCTTTCCTCCTTTTATGTTCTCTTAAGGATCCGACAAATGAATGGAGGGTAAGGCTACCAATGGCTACTAGCCGCCTTGACTATGTTACAGAGGCAGCATTATTGATTTGTATTCTGCTTTTTTCTCCACGGAGTTCAGGGTGGCCTACATGGTTCTCCTGCTCCTCATCTAATCCTCACAACAACCCTGTGAGGCAGGCTAGGCTGGGAGGCAATGACTCACAGAGTGACTCAGCCAGTGAGCTTCACGACTAAGAGGGGATTTGAACCCTGCTCTCCCAGGTCCTAGTCCAAGGCCACACTGTCTCTTTACTAAGCGCCTGGAGGCCAGTTGCTGGGAATCTTAAATGGGGAGAACGCTGCTTTTATGCTATGGTCCCGTTTGCTTTTGGCCTTCTCCTGGTGGCATCTGGGTGGCCACTGTGAGGAGAGGGTGGTGGACACAATGGACCCCTTTTGGCATGATCCAGCAGCTAGGCCGTATCCTTATGGCCAAAGTTACAGAGCACCCACTGTGGTTTCCCCTGCAAGTTGCCTGGCTCTTAGAGCAGCAGGTGAAAGCAGCTGTGATGCCAAGACCCCTCCCCCAACCCACCTCTGGCCAACCAGCTCCCGCCCTCTCTGCCAGCGCCCACCCTCGTCCAAGCCCTCGCACCTGAGCTGCCCCATCTTCTCCAGGCCCTCAGGGCTGAGCCGGTCCCGGGACAGGAGGTTGCTCAGCTGCTGCTCCAGGTTGCTGGCTTCGCGGAGGGTCTTGCTGAGATCCTGCTGCTGCAGGCTGCGCACCTGCTGCTCCATCTCGGGGCTGAGGGGCCCGGCCAGGAGGGGGCTGCACAGGTAGGGCTCAGCTTGCCCCGGGTAGCCTGGCGGGTAATAGGTGCCCGGGTAAACCCCGTTAATGGGACCGACCTGATAGGGCAGGGAGTACCCGGCGTAGGGGTAGGAGGGGGCTTGGGCTGCCGCCCGCCCATAGTAGTAGGGGTTGTCCGAGTTCTGGAAGCGGTAGTAGGAGGCCTGGGCCTGGCGGGTGTCCCCCCGGGGCGGAGGGGCCGCCTCGTCGTCCGTGTCGAGGAAGTGCAGCTGGGAAGCCTGGCTCTTCAGGGCCGGCTTCTGCTCGGGGTTGTTGGGGTCCCACAGGCGGCGGGCGGTGCCCCCTCTGCCCCTCCCCCTGGTCCCCTTGCCCAGGCCGCCGCTGAAGAGGAGCCGCGGCCCTGAGTGGGGGGCTTCGGGGGAGCCGGCACCACTGGCGGTGAGGTCCGTGTTGGCCGGGAGGACCAGGATGCCGCGGCCCCTGCCCTGGGGCTCCCGGCTGGAAGAGCCCTTCCCGACTTCAGCGGCCTCCATGGAATCGCTCAGGCTGGCCTCCGAGGGCTTCCGCTTGCGCCACTCTGCCTCGGAGGGCTCCCCCCGCCCGCCGCCCCTGCCGCACGCTGGGGCTCCCTTGGCCTCCCGCCCACCGGTGCCCCGGGAGAGCCAGCCGTGCTCCAGGCGCCTCTTGGCTGCCTCCGAGTCCCTGCTGGAGCCATGGGCTGCCTCAGCCTCCTCCTCTTCCGCCTTGTCTTCATCCAGCGAGTCCGTGGAGGAAGCAGAGAGCTGCTTCCGGGGACGGGGCCTCTCCTTGGGTGGCTCCTGGCGCTTCCGCCCGGCCTCTGCCTCCCCGCGGGCCCCGTCGGCGCTGTTGTTGCTCCCGGCTGAGCTGGTGCTGCAGGTGCGGTAGCGGTTCCGCCGCTTGTCCGAGCGTGAGTAGCGCTTCGGGGTGCTCTGGGCCTTGCTCTGGGCAGCTGCCTCCTCACCGCCTTTCCGGACCCGCTCGGCCCGCCTGCCCTTCTCCCCGCCACGGAGGAGCTTGGCACCCTCCTGGCTCAGGCCCCCTTCCTGCCCCTCAGGGGCTGCTAGCTTCCTGTAGCCCTTCCCAACGTCCCTTTCGGGCTCTTCGCCCCGCTCCCCCTTTGCGGGGGGCTCCTCGGCCGCCAGCTGGGGGGCTGCGGGCTCCTTGGAGGGGACCTGCAGGCGCTTCCCTGGCTGGTAGATCTGCTGGTCAGGCTTCTTGGCTCGCCGGATGATACGAGGACACCAGTCCTCAGGAGAGACCCCCGGATCCTGTGGGGCCCCTGCCTCGGCAGCGCCTTCCAAGAGGCCATTGGGCTGCTGCTGGCTGCTTCCCCTGGGAGGGTCCTGAGGGGCTGGGGGCTCTTCCTTGCTGGGAGCAAGGGGAGCTCCTCTGTCGCCAGCCAGGGTGCCTCCTTTGGCCTCCTCCTGCTTGGCTGAGAAGCTGAGCTTATTTCGCAGTCGGGAGAGGCCTGGCTTGTAGATCTCGAGGTCAGGGCGCCGATTGTCCTTGCGGTGGCGAGGCTCCTTTGTGGTCTCTGCAGAGAAGGAAAACACAAGGAGGTGGTCAGCCTCGGAGCGGATAAGAAGCACCAGGGGAAATCAGGGACACGGTTGTGGGCTTTGCCTAGGGAGCAAGAGAGCCAAAGAGGCAGGGGAAACAGTGAGCTGTGACCAACACATATTAGGACCAGCACAGGGCCAAGAGGAAGATGTCTGACTGAGCAGACCTGGTGCCAATTCGCTTCCCTTCGGAGTCAAATCGCTGGTCCACCCAACTCAGTACTGCTAAGACATACTGGAAGAGCCTCTAGAGCAGTGATGGCCAAACCTGGCCCTCCAGCTGTTTTGGGACTACAATTCCCATCATCCCTGACCACTGGTCCTGTTAGCTAGGGATGATGGGAGTTGCAGTCCAAAAACAGCTAGAGGGCCAAGGGCATTTCAAGCAGGACTCTCTCACAGGGCAGAGAGCGGGAATGTTATTTCTCAAGCAGCACAGCTCCCCATCGCTCAGGGAGGACTGGAAGCACCCCCTCCCTGACATCCTGGAGAGCTGCTGCCAGCCAATGTCGGCAATACTGAGCTGGATGGACATTTTCCTACGGACACGAGTGTGTTTCCCTCTGACCCACCCCACTTCAGTTCTTTGGGGTTCACCAAGTGGCTGCTTGGCCACCTCACAAAACTGACATTGACAGTTACAAACTTAAGAGTTTCTCTTTTAATTTGCCCACCCCCATGCGTGGCGCTTCCCACCACATCCCACCCAAACGGCCACTTCCACGGTGACGTATTGTCGTAAAGCTTCCCGGAGACGCATCAGGATGCCGCCTCTGCCCTGCCATGTGCTTTTTTCAGACACAAAGTATTTTTCGCGGGCTTCTCCCCACATGCGCAGCCCCCACCCCACAGGAACCTCTTTGTGCCAATTCATTCAGGACGCCAGAACGGACCTCCCACAGGGGAGAACATCCTGAGAGTAGCAGGGGGCTCCCACTGGTTGGCTCCCTGTGCCATTGCCAGCTCAGAGGCTGCCAGGAATGCCAGGTGGCCCTCCTCAGGTGTTCTGAGCTGGCAGGGATCGGAACCCCGGAGGAAGCAGTGCCCGTGGCAACAGAGCCTTGGTGGGGCGGGGTTCCGGAACCTTCCAGCCAAGGGGAACACTGGGGGGAAACAGGACTGCTGGTGGGGAAAGATGGCTCAGCTTCTGGAGTATTGGCTGAATGTGAGAACGCAAGGCTGTAAGAACAGCCTAGGGGGTCAGGTGAGTGGCTCATCTAGTTCAGTATCATCTTCTCATAGCGGCCAACCAGATGCCCCAAAACAGGATCTGAGCCCAGGAGCTCTTTCCCCTCCTGCGGTTTCCAGCCACTTGTGTTCAGAACCATTGCTGCCTCCAACTGTGGAGGCAGAGAATAACCATCATGGCTAGTAGCCCTCTTCTCCAGGAACTTGTCTAATAAAAACATAAGAAGAATCTGCTGGATCAGGGCAAAGGTGGTCCATGTAGTACAGCAACTCAGAAACTACTCCTTCTGGATCAGCCCAAAGGCCCACCCAGTGTCTGGTTTCTAGCTGCAGCCAGCCAAGGTAACGCCAGAAAGTAGGTCATGATGGGACAAACCTTTTCCCTATTAGTCCCTAGATCTGGGTGCTTAGAGGTACCTTGGGTTAAGAACTTAATTTGTTCTGGAAGTCCATTCTTAACCTAAAACTGTTCTTAACTTGAGATACTACTTTAGCTAATGGGGCCTCCCGCTGCCGCTGCGATTTCTGTTCTCATCCTGAAGCAAAGTTCTTAACCCGAGTTACTATTTTTGGGTTTGCGGAGTCTGTAACCTGAAGCGTCTGTAACCTGAGGTACCACTGTATACTGCCTCTAAACAGAGAGGCTCCATTTGCTGCTAATGGCCACCACCACCAGGCCTTAGACTTACAGGTGAAGTATAAGAAAACATTTGTAAACCAGCACAAAGCAAGCAGCAGTTTCGGTAGCAATACGCTACGATTCTTGTTTTAATGGATGTAGGATGTGATTTCTTTTGTTCCATACTGTTCATTTCTCCATTTTGGTTCTTATACTAGTAGGAAAAAGTGGGAAGCAAACAATAGTCTAAAATGAACAGTCTCCCCAGCGTTTCCAAACCCAAATGGAAGAACTACCGTACTTTTTCGTCTATAGGATGCCCCCATGTATAAGATGCCCCCTATTTTGGGGGCCTCAAAATTTAGAAAATAGGGGGGGATTGAGCTTTGAGGGATTATTGGGGGGGATGCCAAAAATCGCTTACCTGCCAGAACGCAGCACACAACTGCTTACAATTGCCCCTTCGAATCTCAGGCTCGCAGTTCCTTCCAGCGGGTGAGCGATATCAGTTGCCCAATTGCAGCCAGCGGCCGCCAATCACACTCTTGCTTGCTGCAACAAGGGCAGCTGTCTATTGGCTGCCACAGCGGAATCAGGCTGGGTTAATGGCAACCATTGGGCAGCTGTGACATGAGTGGTTGTGTGCTGCGTTCCGGCAGGTGAGCGATTTTCAGCATCCCCCCCCCCCAAAAAAATAATCAAGCGGCCAATCGCCGCTTACAATCTCGGGCTCACACCAAAAAACCATTCGCCCACACCCCCCCTCAGCACTACCTGTATACAAGACAATCCTAAATTTTGAACCTCATTTTTGGGTGAAAAAAGTTCATCTTATACACGGAAAAATATGGTAATAAAAAGCAAAAGCCCAGCAAGGCACCCAAGCTTCCCATCATCCCGTCCTCAAGGAACATGAAGGTGAACACACAACCACTCCATAGAAACTGGCCCCCTGAATGGCAGGAACAACTTTAGGATGACAGCTGAGCTTTGTATTCCAGGTAGGACTTCACTATAGACTGCAGAGGGGAGAAGCAATTTGGTCCACAGGCTGGAGAGCTGGATTCAAGTTCTACCAGCTCTTCAGAGGAGTTCCTGGCTGGCTGTGAGCAACGTCTCCATCTCTCAGCCTCAGTCCTCCGTTTGCTGTGAGCCACCACCCACAATGAGAGAATCCTGCTTGCAGCCAGCTTCCATCATATTTACTTGAAAATCATATTTACAGCCCAATCAATGCAAGTATGGCTCTATACGTGTCCATCACCAGTTTCAATAAAGACTGCAGCCTTACTAAAACTTATGTGAGAGGAAACAGCCACAACCCAATGCAAGAACTAAACGTTCACTGTCTTGGGATGGCTTTGTGTGGACGCAGGAGAGAGGCTTCCCAGTCGCTGCTGCTCCCCCAGGCAACTTTGGAGCTCCCTTCCTAGAGAGATTAAAGCTGGTTCCCTCCTTGCTGTCCTCCGGAGGGTGGGTGAAGACCTCTCTCCAACAGGCCTTTGGGGATCTGACTGCTTTTAAGGAAACAGCTCTTAATATTATTGATTGGCTGCCCTTTCCCACAAGGCCCCAGGGCGAGTCGCAACTCCAAGCACAACTTTAAAACTACAGTAGTACTTGCAATCATCAAAATGAGGCGGGTCCTTATTTTTAAACAACAGCCTTCTGTGCTGTTCTTGCTTTGCTTTGTTACTGCTTGCAGGATAACAGATCAAGTTTCTTTCAAACATCGCTCTAACTCCATTGATGTTTTAATCACTAAAAAAACCAACACAACTATGGTCTTTTTTGTTTTTAAAACATAATGCATGTGCTTTATGCATTGGTGAGTTTTTAACGTTTTGTTATGTTTTTACATGTGTTGGAAGCCACCCAGAGTGGGTGGGGTACAAATAATTAAAAATACTATTCTTACTATCATTCTCTTCACGCATTCTGTGCTTCACCGCTGTGTTTTGTTTTGAATCTTTCTCGTGAGCCGCCTTGAGGGGCAAATGAATAAACAGAATAAAAACGAAAAACCCCACCAAGATCAGATTAAAGATAGAATAACGACGAGGATGAGGGTGACAATGGTGGCGATAACGACCCCCGCACGGTAAGAATGACGGCCGAGCGGTGAGAACCGTGACAACCACCGCCACCACGCGGTGGCAACTACAAGAGGCTCCCCGCAAACTCGCGTGTCGGCGGGCCGTGAGGAAGCCACCCCACCCGCCACGCCCCCCGGGCCCGTTCACACGGAGCGAAGCCCCGGGCGCGCGCCTCTCCTCCCCCCGCCCGGCGCGCGCGCCCACCTGGTCCTCCGCTGCCCCGGGCCGCCCCCGAGGAGGCCGCCTCCGCCGCCGCCAGGACGCCCCTCCTCAGCTCCGCCGCCGAGACGCGGACGCGCTCCAGCTCCGCCGCCGCCGCCGCCGCCATTTTGGCTCCTCGGGAAACGAAAGGGGCGGACGGCGGCCGACGCGGGACAAGCCGCGCCGCGGGCGAGAGCGAGGGGCGGGACGGGACGCGCAGGCGCAGCCTCCACAGAGGAGGGAGGGGCGGGAAGCAGCTCTTTGCCCCGCCCACCGGGCCACGTGGCCTGCCAGGATGCGTAGAGAAAAGAAAGGGTAGAGTAGCAGCTCAGCTCTCGGGGTAGACCAGGAAGGGGACGCCGGAGTCTTCGGTTAAATCTCCGACCTCTCTCGCTCCCTGGCCTGCAATCCGGGAGAGCCGCTTTGCTGCTAGGCGGGCTCAGTATAAGGCAGCATCCTGCGCTCCTGTTTAAACCAGCCTTGTATCTAAAACATTGAGGACCAGATGATGGTGATGGACTATATGGAATTGGCTGAAATGACTGGCAGAATCCGAGACCAGGGAGAAGAGTTGGTGGAAGAAGATTGGAAGAAATTTAAAGACTACTTGCAGAAATACTGTAAAATTAATGAATGTTAGAATGATGTTGGATTGAAAATAAGTGGTATTGGTAACAAGGTTAATAAGAATATGCAAATATGGATTGATAATGGATGAAAATGCATAGTTATAATAGGTCAAGATATAGAGTGAAGATAAATGAAAGAGGGTAAGGATTTGCTGAATGGATTATGTAAATGGGAACACAAAAAGGGGAGGTGTGAGGAGGTCAAGGAAACAAGCAAATGAACTTAAAGATATTGAAAAATGGATTTTTAATTTTTTATTAGCTATTTGTTTTTTGAACTTTGTATTTTTTCTTTCTTTTCCCCCTGTTCTTTTATGTTTTATGTTAATTACTGCTTTAATTTTTTATTCTGTAAACCTATGTTTTGTGTAAAACCCTAATAAATATCTTATTATAAAAATAAACATTGAGGACCAGATTCCTATTTCATTCCCCCCTCCCCAACATGAAATGAGATTTTTGGGCAGCAGCACGTTCAGCTGCTTTGATTTTTAAAAGGTGGTCGCAAAGAGGGGAATTCCTGCTCTGTCTAGAGGGAGAACGAAGTAGGAATGGGAAAATGAGGATTTAAATGCCGTTGCATCTGTTTCCCCTTCTAGCAGGGTGAATGCCCTCTCCTCAAGCCCTCCAGAAGTTTCTGGCGACGGCTCCCATCACCCCTGGCAGCAAAGGGGCCAGGCTGCCTTGAGCCCATGAGCTGAAGGCCCAAACAGCTGTTGAGTAGTACGTGAGAGCCCCCTCCTCCATGCATTTGCTTGAGCCTCTTTGAAAGCCATCCCCATTGCAGGCCCTCACTGCCTCTGGTGGGAGCGAGTTCCATAGTTTAACTATTTGGAGCAGCCGAAATGCAATTTTGGAAAACCTCAAGGGCTGATATTTTTACACAGAGATCTGAGCTAAAAAAGTTTTGCTCCTACTTTTTGCAGGGGAAGGGAGTGTGATGGGGAGATACATGATGCTACCATCTGAAGGCAGCCCTGTTGTTGTTTAGTCGTTTAGTCGTGTCCGACTCTTCGTGACCCCATGGACCAGAGCACGCCAGGCACCTCTGTCCTCCACTACTTCCCGCAGTTTGGTCAGACTCATGCTGGTAACCTCGAAAACACTATCCAACCATCTCGTCCTCTGCCGCCCCCTTCTCCTTGTGCCCTCCATCTTTCCCAGCATCAGTGTCTTCTCCAGGGAGTCTTCTCTTCTCATGAGGTGGCCAAAGTACTGGAGCCTCAACTTCACGATCTGTCCTTCCAGTGAGCACTCAGGGCTGATTTCCTTCAGAATGGATGCGTTTGATCTTCTTGCAGTCCATGGGACTCTCAAGAGTCTCCTCCAGCACCATAATTCAAAAGCATCAATTCTTCGGCGATCAGCCTTCTTTATGGTCCAGCTCTCACTTCCATACATCACTACTGGGAAAACCATGGCTTTAACTATATGGACCTTTGTTGGCAAGGTGACGTCTCTACTTCTCAAGATGCTGTCTAGGCCTGTCATTGCCCTTCTCCCAAGAAGGAGGCGTCTTTTAATTTCGTGGCTGCTGTCACCATCTGCAGTGATCATGGAGCCCAAGAAAGTAAAATCTCTCACTGCCTCCATTTCTTCCCCTTCTATTTGCCAGGAGGTGATGGGACCAGTGGCCATGATCTTCGTTTTTTTGATGTTGAGCTTCAGACCATATTTTGCGCTCTCCTCTTTCACCCTCATTAAAAGGTTCTTTAATTCCTCCTCACTTTCTGCCATCAAGGTTGTGTCATCTGCATATCTGAGGTTGTTGATATTTCTTCCGGCAATCTTAATTCCAGCTTGGGATTCATCCAGCCCAGCCTTTCGCATGATGTATTCTGCATATAAATTAAATAAGCAGGGAGACAAAATACAGCCTTGTCGTACTCCTTTCCCAATTTTGAACCAATCAGTTGTTCCATATCCAGTTCTAACTGTAGCTTCTTGTCCCACATAGAGATTTCTCAGGAGACAGATGAGGTGATCAGGCACTCCCATTTCTTTAAGAACTTGCCATAGTTTGCTGTGGTCGACACACTCAAAGGCTTTTGCATAGTCAATGAAGCAGAAGTAGATGTCTTTCTGGAACTCTCTAGCTTTCTCCATAATCCAGCGCATGTTTGCAATTTGGTCTCTGGTTCCTCTGCCTCTTCTAAATCCAGCTTGCACTTCTGGGAGTTCTCGATCCACATACTGCTTAAGCCTTCCTTGTAGAATTTTAAGCATAACCTTGCTAGCGTGTGAAATGAGTGCAATTGTGCGGTAGTTGGAGCATTCTTTGGCACTACCCTTCTTTGGGACTGGGATGTAGACTGATCTTCTCCAATCTTCTGGCCACTGCTGAATTTTCCAAATTTGCTGGCATATTGAGTGTAGCACCTTAACAGCATCATCTTTTAAAATTTTAAATAGTTCAGCTGGAATACCATCACTTCCACTGGCCTTGTTATTTGCAGTGCTTTCTAAGGCCCATTTGACTTCACTCTCCAGGATGTCTGGCTCAAGGTCAGCAACCATACTACCTGGGGTGTACGAGACATCCATATCTTTCTGGTATAATTCTTCTGTGTATTCTTGCCACCTCTTCTTGATGTCTTCTGCTTCTGTTAGGTCCTTACCACTTTTGTCCTTTATTATGGTAATCTTTGTACGAAATGTTCCTTTCATATCTCCAATTTTCTTGAACAGATCTCTGGTTCTTCCCATTCTGTTGTTTTCCTCTATTTGTTTGCATTGCTCATTTAAGAAGGCCTTCTTGTCTCTCCTTGCTATTCTTTGGAAATCTGCATTCAATCTCCTGTATCTTTCACTATCTCCCTCGCATTTTGCTTGCCTTCTCTCCCCCGCTATTTGTAAGGCCTCGTTGGACAGCCACTTTGCTTTCTTGCATTTCCTTTTCATTGGGATGGTTTTCGTTGCTGCCTCCTGTACAATGTTACGAGCCTCCATCCATAGTTCTTCAGGCACTCTGTCCACCAAATCTAAATCCTTAAACCTGTTCCTCACTTCCACTGTGTATTCATAAGGGATTTGGTTTAGATTGTATCTTACCGGCCCAGTGGTTTTTCCTACTTTCTTCAGTTTAAGCTTGAATTTTGCTATAAGAAGCTGATGATCTGAGCCACAGTCAGCTCCAGGTCTTGTTTTTGCTGACTGTATAGAGCTTCTCCATCTTTGGCTGCAGAGAATATAATCAATCTGATTTCGATGCTGCCCATCTGGTGATGTCCATGTGTAGAGTCGTCTCTTGTGTTGTTGGAAAAGCGTGTTTGTGATGACCAGCTTGTTCTCTTGACAGAACTCTATTAGCCTTTGCCCTGCTTCGTTTTGATCTCCAAGGCCAAACTTGCCAGTTGTTCCTTTTATCTCTTGCCTCCCTACTTTAGCATTCCAATCCCCTATAATGAGAAGAACATCCTTCTTTGGTGTCACTTCTATAAGGTGTTGTAAGTCTTCATAGAATTGGTCAATTTCAGTTTCTTCAGCACCAGTAGTTGGTGCATAAATTTGGATTACTGTGATGTTAAAAGGTCTGCCTTGGATTCGTATCGAGATCATTCTATCATTTTTGAGATTGCATCCCAGTACAGCTTTCGCCACTCTTTTGTTGACTATGAGGGCCACTCCATTTCTTTTACGGGTTTCTTGCCCACAGTAGTAGATGTGATGGTCATCCGAACTGAATTCGCCCATTCCCGTCCATTTTAGTTCACTGATGCCCAGGATGTCAATATTTATTCTTGCCATCTCATTTTTGACCACCTCCAACTTACCCAGGTTCATGGTTCTTACATTCCAGGTTCCTATGCAATATTTTTCTTTCCAGCATTGGACTTTCCTTTCGCTTCCAGGCATATCCGCAACTGAGCGTCCTTTCGGCTTTGGCCCAGCCGCTTCATCAGCTCTGGATCTACTTGTACTTGTCCTCCGCTCTTCCCCAGTAGCATGTTGGACGCCTTCCAACCTGAGGGGCTCATCTTCCAGCGTCATAACTTTTATATGCCTGTTGTCTTTGTCCATGGAGTTTTCTTGGCAGGGATACTGGAGTGGCTTGCCGGTTCCTGCTCCAGGTGGATCACGTTTGGTCGAAACTCTCCACTATGACCTGTCCATCTTGTGTGCCCTGCTTGGCGTAGTTCATAGCTTCTCTGAGTTCTTCAAGCCCCTTCGCCACGGCAAGGCAGTGGTCCATGAAGGGGAGGCAGTGATCCATGAAGGCAGCCCTGTTAGGAAACTTTTTAATGTTTGAAGTTTTATTCTGTTTAATATTCTGTTGGGAGCCACCCAGAGTGAGTGGGCTATAAATAAATTATTATTATTATTATTATTATTATTATTATTATTATTATTACCACATCCCATCCCCGGATGTCCCCACTGCTGTCACTAACCAAGAAAGAAATAACATGATGTCAGAAGGAGCTGACAAAATCTGGGCTGGAGGCAAAGCAATGGTCAGTCTGAGCTAGGACATTGGGACATAAAGCCATGGGGGCTGGAGCAACTCTCTGTG